AATAAATAAATGTTTTTTAATTCATTAGATTCCATCTGAAGTGGTAGAAATGTGTTTTTTGTGTCATGGGATGACTGGTTAGGGACGTATTTGCTGAATCATCACACAAAGATTTTCAGGTGACTTATGAGCAAGAAACTAAATATGAATCAGTGTCTAGTTTATAGATCTGCGCGGCCCGTGTTGCTTCAGAGGAGTTTCAGCAGAAACCAAAAGAGATGATGGTTATTATTGGAATAGAAAAAGAAAATGTGGTGCAATCAAACCTGGACTGGTTTGAGTTCCTAATTTGTCGTTTCTGTATTTTCATGCATCCACTGAACACATGAGAAGGAAATTGTTGCGTTAAGCTTCTTCTTTAAAACCCGACTTCAAAAGTGTCTTTTGAAACGCAGCCATTTCAAAACAACATGTCGACACTTTCTGCAGAATTTCCAGCGCAGTTGTCCCCCTGCTTCCTCTTAATCAGGTTGATTAGATCGTCCCAGAGCCGGGCCTGGGCCGGCGCTGGGGTTTTGCACCACAGACTTCCTGTGATCCTGCCTGGGTTTATTTCTGAAGCAGAGCTTTTTGGGGGGGCTGAAGTGTCGAGCACGCAGCAGCGTTAGAGTTAGAGTGTGAGGAAGCTGTGTGGTGTGGGTTCAAAGGTTTCAGAGCTGAAGCACTTCCTCATCCCTCAGTTCGCATCACAGAGCCCCACAGAGATGAGCGCCTCGCTGACCATGTGTCCCCTCTGACTTCCCCTACGGCCTCGCAGACAGACGGCAGGACGTCTCAGGGATGCTGAGGAGCATCTCAGCTGGAATGTGAACATCTGGTGAGTTTTTTATTTTGTGTTTCATACTAAGCAGCTGTGCCCACCTGGCTGATGAAGTGACCTGAATGTGAAGAACGTGCGAATTCTTCCTTTGGTCGAATGAGAAGCAGGTTTCTGAAGCTCTCCTTCCATGAAGCTGCTTTCAGGGTACTCTGTCCGTCTGTCCGTCTGAAACCAAAGCTTTCATCAGAGCGAGCAGAGAGCCGCATCCACAAGGAGAACTAAACTATTTACATTTAAAATAAGAAAAAACTTTTGCTTATTTCAAGTGCATTTTATCTGCTTATCTATTGAGTAAAAATACTCATTTCATTGGCAAATCATCTTATTTACCTGCTTAAATGAAGGGAAATACACATAATTTAAGAGATTTTCACTTATTTCTAGACGCACATAGATCCCATCAGCAGCAGAAATCACTGCTGCGCTCCTGAATGTGTCGATAATCCAGGATGTTCTGTCGTCTTTCCTGTAAATGTTTCACTGCCGACTGTTTCGTTGGTTCAAGGCTTCAGGTTTGATCAGAGAAAATCTGATCAGTGAATTTTGCCGAACTCTCAAATCGAGGCTTTTCTTCTTCTCTCTGCACAGGAAAACATTCTGAGGCGTCAGACATCCATTTAAAGTCGTATATTTGCAGCAATGAATTTCATTTTATTACAGATAAATCATAAACTTTCTGCATTTTCTAAAGATTTATAGATGATCAGATTTTTTCAGGCCTCTGATTTGATCTAAACTTTAAATCAAATGTAAAATGAATTCCTTCACTTTGTTCATTAGATTAAAGCCAAAAATTATAAGCTTTTAAAATATTTATTATATCCACAGATATGTACAAAAGACACATAAAAATAAAGATATTATTTCAGAGCGGTTGGAGCGTAGAACCTGGAATCCAGAAGTTCTGAGCTCTGCTCCCCTCGAGGAGTTAGGAGGGAATTTTGTTGCTCTGTACTGCTGAGAGTTTGAATGATCATAAAAAAGCTGAAAACAAATAAAAGTTTAAACCCTCCATCCTTTAATTATCACAGCTTTGATTTCTGTTGCTTAATCAGCCAAATGAGATTTTATTGTAGAATAAACAGTAGGAGTTAGTTTCACTGCTGCTGATCGGCAGTGCTCAGCAGAGCGAGGTGGGGGGGGCAGCAGTGTGGAAACTTTGTGCTCCGGAAGCTCGAACCGTTTCTCTGGGATTCCTTTACTTTGGATCCTGGAGGATTTTAGTGGAAAAATTCAGAAAAGCTCGTTTTAAATTAATTTAAATTAAAACGTGAATCAGCAGGAAGACATTTCAAATAAAGACAAACCATAAAAATCAGCTTTTTATAAAATCCAAACACAAAGCGGGTGATTTTCCTTCTCTTTATTCATGGTTGAGGCCCCCCCCCCATGGAGTCGGTTAAATGTTTGCTGTCGGCTCTGCAGGCTGATGATCCAACCTCCGTTTATATCCAGACATTATATTTAAAACCTAAAAACCAAAGTCAGATTGATAATAATTATTTAATAAACTGCTCTGTCCTAATATGGAAGAATTCCGGTTTTTCTTTGGGGGTTTTTGGTGGATTTAATTAAACCGAGGAGACGCTGTGGAAATGCAACCTTTGACATCTGCACTAAAATCTGCTTCATCTCTCCTCATCGATCCGTCTCACTTTTATTCACTTCTTTGCATTTTGCTGACAGCATTTCTTCTCCAACTATAATGAATGAAATACTTTTACAAAGAGCTTCTATAAATTCCCTAATTTTGACTGGAAGGATTTTAAGTCTCAGCCGCCGTTTCCATTTCTTGCTGTTTTAAAATAAAAATCCTGAAGCTTGAGAAATGTCCTAGTTGTTGTCGGTAATGCGATGCGCAGCGTTGGGCGCGATGCGTCTCAGATGGGCTCCTTTAAATGTGTCAAAAGCAAACAGTGAGTCATTAGATGTGTGATAATAGTGCACAGCTCACAGCTGCTGCTCAGACTGGGTAGCAATTTAGACCTCAGTGTGAGATTCACTATGAGCCGTTTCCTCTTCTGGTCAGACATAAAACATTTGTTTTCATTATTAAGACTCTGAGAAAGTCACGAACTGTTAGATCAGTGAGTATTACTCGTAAAAATGGCGCCCCAAGGCCA